CTTCCTTCCTCCCTTCCTTCCTTCCTTCCTTCCTTCTTCCTTCTCCTTTCCTCCTCTTCCTCCCCTTCCTTCTCTTTCCTTCCGTGCTTCCTTCTTCCTTCCTTCTTTCCTTCCTGCCTTCCTTTCCCATTCTTCCTTCCTTCTTCCCTTTCCTTCCTTCCTTCCTTCCCCTTCCTTCTCCTTCTTCCTTCCTTCCATTCTCCTTCCTTCCTTCCTTCCTCCTTACTTCCTTCCATCTTCCTTCCTGCCTTCCTTTTCCCTACTCTCCTTCCTTCCTTCCCCTTCCTTCTTCCTTCCTTCCTTCCTTCTTTCCTTCCTCCTCTTACTTCCTTCCTTCCTTCTTCCTTTTCCTTCCTTCCTTCCTTCCTCCTTCTTTCCTGCCTTCCTTTTCCATTCTTCCTTCCTTCTTCCTTTTCTTCCTTCCTTCCTTCCTTCCTCCTCCTTCTTTCCTTCTTCCTTCCTTCATTCCTTCTTCCTTCCTTCCTTTCCTGCCTTCCTTCTCCTTCTTCCTTCCTTCCTTCTGCCTTTCTTCCTTCCTTCCTTCCTTCCTTCCTCCTCCTTCCTCCCTCTTCCATTCTCCTTCCGTTCTCCTTCCTCCTTCCTTCCTTCCTTCTTCCTTCCTTCCTTCCTTTTCCTTCCTTCCTTCCTTCCCCACTCCTCCTTCCTTCCTTCCTTCCTTCCTTCCTTCCGTCCTTCCTCCTCCTCCTACTTCCTTCCTTCCTTCCTTCCTTCTTCCTTCCTTCCTTCTTCCTTCCTGCCTTCCTTTTCCATTGTTCCTTCCTTTCTTCCTTTTCCTTCCTTCCTTCCTTCTTCCTCCTCCTTCTTCCTTTTTTCCTTCCTTCATTCCTTCTTCGTTCCTTCCTTCCTGCCTTCCTTTTCCATTCTTCCTTCCTTCTTCCTTTTCCTTCCTTCCTTCCTTCCTTCCTCCTCCTTCTTCTCCTTCCTTCCTTCCTTCCTGCCTTCCTTTTCCATTCTTCCTTCCTTCTTCCTTTTCCTTCCTTCCTTCTTCCTTTCTGCCTTCCTTTTCCATTGTTCCTTCCTCCTTCCTCCTTCCTTCCTTCCTTCCTTCCTTCCTTCCTTCCTTCCTTCCTCCTTCCTTCCTTCCTTCCTTCCTTCCTTCCTCCTCCTTCTTCTCCTTCCTTCCTTCTTTCCTTCCTTCTTCCTTCCTTCCTTTTCTTTCCTGCCTTCCTTTTCCATTCTTCCTTCCTTCTTCCTTTTCCTTCCTTCCTTCCTCCTTCCTTCCTTCCTTCCTTCCTTCCTTCCTTCCTGCCCTCCTTTTCCATTGTTCCTTCCTTCTTCCTTTTCCTTCCTTCCTTCCTTCCTTCCTTCCTTCCTCCTTCCTTCCTTCCTCCTTCCTTCCTTCCTTCCTCCTTCCTTCCTTCCTTCTTCCTTTCCTTCTCCTTCCTTCTCCTTTTCCTCCTCTGCTTCCTTCCTTCCTTCCTTTCTCCTCCTGATTCTTCTTTTTCTTTCCTTCCTTCATTCCTTCTTCGTCCTTCCTTCCGCCTTCCTTTTCCATTCTTCCTTCCTCTTCCTTCTTCCTTCCTTCCTTCCTTCCTTCCTCCTCCTTCTCCCCTTCTTCCTTCCTTCCTTCCTCCGCTCCTCCTTCCTCCTTCCTTCTCTTCTTCCTTCCTGTCCTTCCTTTTCCATTCTCCTTCCTTCCTTCCTTCCTTTCCTTCCTTCCTCCTTCCTTCCTCCTCCTACTTCCTTCCTTCCTTCCTTCCTTCTTCCTTCCTTTCCCTTCCTTCTTTCCTGCCTTCCTTTTCCATTCTTCCTTTCCCTTCTTCCTTTTCCTTCCTTCCTTCCTTGCTTCCTTCCTCCCTCTCCCTCTTCCTTTCCTTCCTTGGCCTTCCTTCTTCCTTCCTTCCTTCCTTCCTTTCTCTGCTTCCTTCTTCCTTTCCTTCTTCCTTTCCTTCCTATCCTTCCTGTCCTTCCTTCCTTCTCCTCATTCTCCCCCTTCTTCCTTCCTTCCTTCCTCCCTTCCTTCCTTCCTTCCTTCTTTCCCTTCCTTCCTTCCTTCCTTCCTTCCTTCTTCTCCTTTCTTCTGCCTTCCTTTTCCATTGTTCCTTCCTCCTCCTCCTTCCTCCTTCCTTCCTTCCTTCCTTCCTTCCTTCCTTCCTTCCTTCTTTCCTTCCTGCCTTCCTTTCCTTCCTTCCTTCCTTCCTTCCTCCTCCTTCTTCTCCTTCCTTCCTTCCTTCCTTCCTCTGCCTTCCTTCTTCTTCTTTCCTGCCTTCCTTTCCATTCTGCCTTCCTTCTTCCTTTTCCTTCCCTTCATTCCTTGCTTCCTCCTCCTTCTTTCCTTTTTTCCTTCCTTCATTCCTTCTTCGTTCCTTCCTTCCTGCCTTCCTTTGTCCTTCCATTCCTTCCTTCTTCCTTTTCCTTCCTTCCTTCCTTCCTTCCTCCTCCTCTCTCCCTTCTTTCCTTCCTTCCTGCCTTCCTCCTTCCTCCTTCCTTCCTTCCTTCCTTCTTTCCTTCCTTCCTTCCTTCCTTCTTCCTTTCTGCCTTCCTTTTCCATTGTTCCTATCCTCCGTCCTCCTCCGTCCTCCTTCCTCCTTCCTCCTTCCTCCTTCCTTCCTTCCTTCCTTCCTTCCTTCCTTCCTTCCTCCTCCCTTCCTTCCTTCCTTCCTTCCTTCCTTCCTTCCTTCCTCCTCCTTCTTCTCCTTCCTTCCTTCCTTCCTTCTTCTTTCCTGCCTTCCTTTTCCATTCTTCCTTCCTTCTTCCTTTTCCTTCCTTCCTTCCTTCCTTCCTCCTCCTTCTCCCTTCTTCCTTCCTTCCTTCCTCCTTCCTTCCTTCCTTCCTTCTTCCTTCCTGCCTTCCTTTTCCATTCTCCTTCCTTCCTTCCTCCTCCTTCTTCCTTCCTTCCTTCCTTCCTTCCTTCCTCCTCCTACTTCCTTCCTTCCTTCCTTCCTTCTTCCTTCCTTCCTTCTTCTTTCCTGCCTTCCTTTTCCATTCTTCCTTCCTTCTTCCTTTTCCTTCCTTCCTTCCTTTCTTCCTCCTCCTTCTTCCTTTTTTCCTTCCTTCCTTCCTTCTTCCTTCCTGCCTTCCTTTTCCATTCTTCCTTCCTTCTTCCTTTTCCTTCCTTCCTTCCTTCCTTCCTCCTCCTTCTCCCTTCTTCCTTCCTTCCTTCCTTCCTTCCTTCTTCCTTCCTGCCTTCCTTTTCCATTGTTCCTTCCTCCTTCCTTCTTTCCTTCCTTCCTTCCTTCCTTCCTCCTTCCTTCCTTCCTTCCTTCCTTCCTTCCTTCCTTCCTTCCTTCCTTCCTTCCTCCTCCTTCTTCTCCTTCCTTCCTCCTTCCTTCCTTCCTTCCTTCCTTCCTTCCTTCCTTCCTTCCTTCTTCTTTTTTCTGAGAAAGAAAGAAAAACAGACTTCTCAGCTGTTTAGCAGTCAAGTTGTAATCAGTTCTCAAGATAGGTATTCCTAATTTTATGCAAACACATCCAGAGGATAGAAAAGAGAGACTACTCACCAACTTAGTCAATGAGACTAGAAAACCGTGACCCTCAACCAGCAAAGATAATATGAGAAAGAGAAACATTATATCAATCTCGCACGTGAGCAGAAGATGCAAAATCCTAAGCAAAAGTTTAGCAAACTGATGCCACCAGCAGATACAAAAGATGCACCATAACTAAGTTACATTTATCCTTGGAGATCAAAAGTGGTTTAACATTCGAAAAACTATAGACACATGAGAGAGGTTTGTGTGTTAGTCATCATTCTGTTGCTTGCTGTAGGTGCTAATTGAATGTGTATGTTTAATGTTTGAAAATTGCTAAGAAGTACATTCATAATTTTTGTTCTTTTTTGTTACAAGATGAGCTTGACGAAACATTTTGAGAAAAGAAATCTATAAATAGCATTCACCGTATTTAAGAGACTAAATCAAAAGAGTCTTGATCATTTCAATCGAGGCAAAAAATGTAAAATTTAGTATCTGTTCATTACTTTTTACGACAAACTCCTTAAACTAGGAATATAAGAGAAATTCCTGAAGCTGATAAAGAGAAAGAGAGAAAGGAGCCCGGCCGATGTGGCTCAGTGGTTGAGCATCGACCCATGCAGCAAGAGGTTGTCAGTTCGATTCCCAGTCGGGACACGTACCCAGGGTGTGGGCCCCATCCCCAGTGGGGGGCCTGCAGGAGGCGGCCGATGGATGTTCTCTCTCATCCATGTTTCTATCCTTCTCCCTGTCCCTTCCTTTCTCTGTAAAATCAATAAAGGAAATGTATAAAAAGAGAGAGGAGAGGAGAGAGACAGAGGGGGGGGGAGGACGGGAGGGAGGGAAGACAATGAATCACAGGAAACCCATTTTAATATGGAAATGTTGGCAGCTATCTATTTAATATTAGGACCAACCCAAAGTTGCCCACAGTTGCCATCTCTATTTGACCTTGTAATGGATGTCCTAGCTAGCACACACACAGAAATCTGTTTGTTGATTATTGTACTTCTGTTAGTGAGAGCGCCATAGAAAACCGCGGAGCACCTGTAGAGAAATCATTAGGTATCCTTGAGCTTTTAGCATGGTGGCTGACTTTCCATTTACTTTTTAAAGAGCCCAGTGGATTTGTATAAATTTGATAGAAATAGAAAGATATAAATTTGACTACATAGCATATACAAGAGCAATAGCACTGTGGAGTATCTTAGGATAAATACAGCAAAAGATGTACAGGGTCTGAATGTCCAAAAGATAAAAGTACATACCAAACTGAGAGATTAAAACGTTACAGAAGACCCCCTAAGTGGAGAGACAGCCCCTGTTGGTGACTAGGAAGGCTGGATAGCATAAAGATGGTCCATTCTCGTCTGAGTTATAGATTCCAAATCTGCTGCAAAGGAGTTTTCCGGGAACAGGACCTGTTCATGATAACATTGATATGGGAAGGCAAAGTGCGAAGAGTCGTCAAGATGTGCCTGGAGGTGATGTGTAGGATGGGGGCTTTGCCCTACGAGAGATCAAGACGTCTTACTGAGAGATGAAAATTAACAGTGTAGCACTGTCATGGGAATAGACAAATTCAAGCAACTGAACGGGGAGCTCAGGAACAGAGACTCACCAATGTGGGACACAGTGACTCCGGACATTGCCACATGTTCCCTGGGGCTGAAACCTCGCCCTATTCGGAATCCCTGCCAGAGGCATGTGGATCGATCTTAAAAGCACACGCTGAATTTTGTGAAAGTACATGACAGAATACGAAGCACACGAGTTAAAAATGCACCCACATGTATATTTCACGTTCAAAGAGAGAACAGTCTGGGAAACAAGGTTGGGGAGCATCAAGGTGCACCTCAAGGTCCACCTAGTGTCGGCGTCCGTCGTATCGCGAGCCTGAGGAGGAGCCGGGAGAGGAGAGGGGGCAGGACTTTGGTGGGTGTGTTTCCAAGGAAATCGAAGCTTATTGGTCGCCGGCCACAGCGGAAGGCGGAAGGCAGTGCTGGCAGCTCATTGGCTTCTGTGGGAAGGGCGGGAAACGGAGAGGGACAGCTTCTTTCCTCTGGTGTCTTGTGCAAGAGTACGTGCTGCTGGAGACTGAGGTAACCACAGGCTGGTATGAGGAAGAGGAGCCCTCTGTTTTCCCTGCTTTTTCTTTTCTCCGTCCCTCCTGGTGTGAGTTCCCCACCCTCTCTCCTTTCTTCCACCCGAGCAGGTTACCTCTGCCGGCTCCTTGTGTCCCACTCTGATCCCTCCTGGGGGAGGACCCAGTGCCGCAGCCTCCTGAGTCCCGGTGCTTGGCCCCTGGGGCAGGGCTCAGGGCTCATGAGCCTGCCTTTGATTCTGATGGGGGGGGCAGCGAGTGCTTGGGCTGGTGGAGAGGACGTGGCACACTCCCGGCGTGTGTGTTGGGGGCGGGCAAAGGGGTCCTCCAGCCTAATTTTGGAGGCATGGGGACAAGCTCGGAAGGTTGTTGGGAGGCTGTGGAGGTACGCATGGGTTTGCTCGAAACCAGGGAGGGGTGTGTTGCTGCCAGAGAGCAATTAGTACAGTGAGGGCTCGGCTGTTGACGACATCAGGGTCTGACACTTGATACGAGGCTAGACAAACTTCTATTCAATGAATAATCGACAGGATGGGTGAAGATAATGATTGAAACAGGGACTTGGGGTACAGCGGAATAACATCATTTTGGGGGGAAACATCTGCCAGCTGGAAAGGGAGTAAGGACATAATTACGACCATGGTGTGCTGCAAGAAAAATATCAGAATGGTGTGTGACTAAAGAACATGGGATGCGGGGCATATATGAGACGAGTGAAATGGAGTGTCGGGGCACAGACTCAGGGAATGTGTGAGCTGGGGAGTGCACCGTGAATGAACGCAGAAGATTAGGAAGGCAATTCTGGAAGTGGGTGTCGGGAATAATAGTTGGGTGTAGCAGAGTACAGGACGATACATAACAAGGGCCAGTAGTTGTGGAAGAGGCACGAGGGTGCAGGGGCATGCCGGGAAACAGGGACTATGTGGAGTGAAACTAAGCAAAGAGAAGAATAATTGGGTTGCAAGCATCCAGGACCAAAGTCAGGAGTTTCTTGGAACAAAGCTATGTATGCATGAGTATGGCTTCTTGGGAAGGAGGCTCCATGAGCAAGAAGGCAGGGTGCAATCTGATTTCAGCAGTGAGCTGGATGGAAAAGAACCCAGGCTCTTCAGGTGGGGTTGACCAAGGTCAGAGGCAGTGTGGTTGGGGGCAGGGGATCATGTGGCCATCCTGACTTCCACTCCCGGGCCTAGAACCAAGGAGCCCAACAAAATGCCTGCTATGCCCTGCTGCCCCTGTGACTCCACCACTGGGCTGGAGACTAGAACCCCAATGGGGATGAACCTTGGCCTCACAAGAGCTGTAAATTGCTGTGTCTGCTGCCACAACTACGGCATGCCTGACCAAACCGAGGACCATGAGCACTTCTACCTCTTCCAAGCCTGCGAGTGTCACAAGTGTGACCTCTTGTCGTGAGTATGGTACCTGGCAAGGGAGAGGGAGGGCAGGCCTCCTCTAAGTGTGACGGACTTTAGACCTAAAACCTCCCACTTTACGGAGGACTGCAGGGTCTTGCCTGCTGAGAGTGCCTTCGAGATGGACCACGGGCCACACCTAAACAGGCATCCGACTCGAGATCTGAGGAGGAGTGGAAGCACACCTCCCAGACATCGCAGCTTTGTCAAGAAGATGGCCATTCAAGGAAGTGTCCTCAGTGAGTGTCTCTGGCCAGAGGGGGAACCGGGTTCTGGGTATAGGGAGCATGAGTAGTTCTGCCACCACACCTACCACTCAACCTGCCCGGTGGGGCCTTGGGCAGGTTACTCCTTGCCTTTAGCTTCCCCAACTACAAAACGTCTTCAGGATCATCTACCAACCGTTGCTGGCAACGTGGAATCTGACGGGGAGGGGTTTGAAAACATCCATAGTGGAAAGAGAGCTGAGACGGAGGATGAGGTGGAGTTGGGCACAGTGAGGGGGAAAGGATCTCGTAAGCTGTTCTGAGTCTTCCACAGCTGGGAAGGACAACGTCATGCCCCAGTGTAAGGCCCACCCCTGTGCAACCCCCAGGGAGGTAAGGAGAGCCTCGGGCCAGTGGGGAAGGTTTCCAACTCAGCCACGGTCCAGACCCCTTTCTCTCTGTCTGGAAGACGTGGGTTCCGTCTCTAACCCTACTGCAACTTGCCATGTCACCGTGGAGGAAAAATACTTCTCTCCGGGCCTCAATTTCCCCAGTTGCAAAACAAGCAGTAAGACTGGCTGGTCTTCAAAGTCTTCTCAGCCCCGACATTCACAGCTCCTATCCTCATCCCAAAGCATGCCCACCTCCTCTCCATGGCCTGACTTCTACCTGACTCCAACCTGTGCTCTCTGCTTCTGCAGGAGATCTCCCAGGGGAGTATGCGGATGAACCAAGCCCCAAACTCTTTGTCTCTGTCCTGGACTCCAGCACCCTTGAAGAAGCAACTGACAATTTCTCCTTCCGGGACTTCCCACAGGCCCCCTGCCCTGAGGGGCTCGTGAGTAGATTGAGAGGGAGCGCGGAGCTAGATGTGTATTGTGTGCCCATCCTTGTGCTCGATGCCGTGTGACATGCAGAGAGCAAGTGGAGGCAGCAGTGGTGGAGGAGGAGGAGGAGGAGGAGGAGGAGGAGGAGGAGGCAGAGGAGGAGGAGGAGGCAGAGGAGGAGGGGGAGGCAGAGGAGGAGGGGGAGGAGGAGGCAGAGGAGGAGGGGCAGGAGAAGGCAGAGGAGGAGGGGGAGGAGGAGGCAGAGAAGGAGGGGCAGGAGAAGGCAGAGGAGGAGGGGGAGGAGGAGGCAGAGAAGGAGGGGCAGGAGGAGGCAGAGGAGGAGGGGGAGGAGGAGGCAGAGGAGGACAAAGGTGAGAAGGCAGCATCGCGGACTAACAGGCAAGGACAGGGCTCTCCCTGCTTTGCTATTTCCTACTGGTGAGGGACTTCAGACAAGTGAGTTTAGGTGTCCAAGCCTCCACTTGTTTGTCAGTGGACTGAGAGGGGACAGTATTCTACACCACTAGCATTGACAGCAGGACAAAGGCCACATAGCAGGCCTTTAACAAGTGGAGCCTTTTGTTCCACATGAAACAGACTGATGGGATAGAAGGTCCTGCTGAAAAGGGGGAGCGCGATGGTGAGGGCCACAGAAGCCTAGGTGAGAGTCCAGAGACCATTACAGAAAGCTTCCTGGAGATAAGCCAAGCTGGTCCTTCCACTCCCATGGGGACTGGGAACTATGGACCCAAGAACCAGTCCCTGAACAGGGACAGTAACCACATCTCTCCAGGTGCTTTGCAGATTAAAACACAGACAACTGTGATTTCCCATAATCTTCACTGTTGCCCCCGGGGGTTCTGAAAAGGCTGGCAGGAGTTAGTGTCTCAGGAAAGATTTAGAGAAAAGAGATGGAAAAGAAGACAGGCTAAGCAGGGGAAGGGACTTGCCCAAGCCACAACAAGTAATGGTCAGCAGGCATTCGGACTCCCACATTCAGATATTGTAAAAATCCTGCCCCTCTCTGTCTACTGGTGGTGTGTGTCCTCCGGAGGGTTTCATCTCCTGGCCTCACCCTGGTCACTAGATACTCAACTCGGGTCCCCCACTCCTATGCCACCCTTGACCCTCTTCTACTGCAGCCACACATCCTGGGAGAACAGTTGGGTCCAGAACCCTGGCAGGGGCCAAGCGTAGTGAATGGGAGGAGCAGAATGCCTCGGGCAGGGTGGGGCCTTCAGGGGAAGTGGGGACTGAGGGGCACTTGTTGCATGAGGCGGGGAGGTGTGGGTTCCCAGCTCCCATTCTCTCACACCCTTTCCTTTGCAGGTTGCCGCAGCTTCTGGCCAGGCCTCGGTTTCTCCCTCCTCAGAGTGGCGGCGGAAGCTGGAGGCGGCCGAGGCTCTGCTGATTCTGAGAGCATCTCCTCAGGCCCCCTCAGGCTCCATCTCCCAGCTCCAGCCTTGAGTTGCACCAGGTAGCGTGGTCCTTGAAAGGAGAACACAACACGGGGTGGGAATAGTTGGGAAATGGGAGGGCGTTGTGGTAAGCGGGGCTTAGCTGGAAAGTCAGGCTTGGTGGGTTGAACCTTCCAGGGACCCGGCACCCAAGCTCCTCACGCTGATACCTGAGATGGCAGCTGATGGTTGTTCGGTGAATCATCAGTTTATCGAGCTTTGTACTCCTCAACAGCCAATGGCCGGTGCCCCGATATCAAGAAACAAGGAAACCGGGGCCCTGAGAATGGCAGGGACGTGCCCGAGGGCATGTGGCATATCAAGTGGAAGAGCCAGGTCTCCCGACTCTCGGCCTAGAGTTTTCTACCGAGACCCTTGTCACCTGCTGTGGTCTGGGGAGGACACATATAGGTGATATGTGCCTTCTCTGGGAGGGGATTCTGGTCCCTGCCTCCAGGGAGCTTCCAGTCTAGATGTGGAGCCTGGATGCGTGCCTCCACGAGTTGTGTCTTGCAGCTAAATGTCAATGATGAGCCCGGGGAGGAAGGACTGGAGGGGGCCTGAGGACAGAGAGACACCTGGGCAGGCTGAGAGGGAAGGCTGGGCACTTCCAGACCAAAATGGTGGATGGGGCATAGTGTGCGAGTGAAGCAGCAACCCTGGAGGGACTGCTGGAATGGAAGGGGATGAGGCTGCAGAGGCTACCAATCACAGAGGTCTGGCATGTCAGGCTTAGGAGGCTAAACCAGCAACTGTGGGTGGTGAGGTGCCAGGGAATGTGTGAGCTGGGGAGCGGCATATTCAAAGACCCCAGGCTCGGCAAAAAGAAATGTGGTGACTGTGATGGAGGGACTAGAAGTGGCAAGATTTGAGATGAGCAAATCAAGTGAGGAAGAGTTCTGTGCAATGATCCAGGTGGCAAAGCCTCGACTGGGTGGAACGAAAAAGAGGGGAGAGCGGGAGGGGAAAGGGATGCGAGCTGGCCCTCACCCCTCCCTTTCTGTCTACAGCTCCTGCTGGAGTTAGAGGGCTCCGGCCTTCTAGCCCCTCTCTCCGACCCAGGCCGGCCAGTTCTGTTTCTCTGCCTATTGGACGGACATCTGGGACACATCTCCTTCTTGAGCTAGAAGCCCAGAGGAGGAGGCGTCTTTAGAGTACTTGCCTGTTTATGCATTTGCAAATGTTTAATGTTCAAAATGCTTTTTTTTTTTTTTTAAAGCCTCCAGGTACTTCTATAAGCTTTCACGCCCTTTTTATTGTATGGCACAATTCCTTGGCCGAGGGCAGATATTCTTGCACCCCCATCACTTACTCCCTTGGATCCTGGGGCTTTTTTAGGTCCTATATAAACAAGGTTATGCAACCTAAGCTGGTCAGTCTCGAACCAGGGTTTCGTGTGTTCGTATATTCATATGCCAGAGTTTTTATTTGACTCGTCATTGCAAACATAGCAGTGCACTCATGCTTGTATCCATGCATATGAAAATATGATGATCTCCCCCCCCCCCATTTTTGTGCCTAGGTTTGTGTGTGTGTGTGTGAACAAATAATAAAATCTTGTTGTAAGACACTGAGACACAGGAGTTGTTTGTTACCACAGTATAACCTACACTATCCTGACTCCAACAGACTTGTTCAATTCACCTTTCAAAGTGAAAATCGCCTTACTCAGTAACTGGCATTTCTTAATATGGCTGGAGAAGAAAATGACAGAGAAAAAAGGGTGGGGGATTTATTCATTCAGCAAGTAAGTGCCTACCCGTTGCCTGGCATAGACTATTCCCATAGTTGTCCAGAAGGCCACGGATTGAAATGTCTGCGAGATCAAGCAGGTCATAAGGATGAGAGCAGGCCAGATGGGCCCTGGCCAACTGACAGTGCGTGTTCTGCCTAAGGGGGCAGCTGCCACTGGGCTCTAGCCAGTTCTAGCCAGTTGTTGTCGAGCAGGAATGTGGACTCATTGTTACCACATCTCCTGATTTTTTCAGAGAAGATGGAATTCTAGATTTCTGTGTAAAATATCTCAATGTTAAAATGTTGGCTGTGATTTCCTCTTAAAGCCCTTTACGTGGGCCAAGCAAAACACCCATGCAGGCCAACTTTGGCCAGTGAAATGCCAGTTTGATTCTAGTTCAATGTGTATGTTACAGTGGGGGAAACTGAAGCCAATCAGGACAACAAGAATCAAAAGACCGGAGATGAATTAGACCCAGAGCCTACCTTGGACGGACCCAGGAAATATGAGGAAGAATCATTATCATTTATTCATCCTGTGCCCACTATATGCTGCTAAGTACATAGAGCCTCTCAGCAGCTCTGTAAACCAAGCGATATTATCCCCCTTTCACCTATGAGGAAATGAACTCGAAGACTAAAAGTAACTTGCACAAGTGTTTCAGAGAAAATTTTTAGCCAAAGTTGGGGGAAGACTACCTTCACTTGCCAGGCCTTAAATTAGGTAATAATTATTTTTTGTTAAATAATGCATTGAGTGAAAGGCTCAAAACTTGAGGGGGCAGACATCCAGTCAAAAGATCTTTCAGAAGTAGTCCATTTATTTTGTACTCAAGGTTACAATGCACAGTAATCCATCAGCTCTTACCTGCACTTGTTTCTCAGTCATTTGCTGATGTTCCAAACAAAAGAAGAACTGGAGACGCCACCAGGAAGACAGAAAGCTCAGTGGACACGCCCAGGTCACCAATTCTTTCCCGTCAGGTTCCCTCCCTCCTGCCTTCCCTCCCTCTTTGTTACCCAAGATGATGGATGGTGATGACATCATTTACAACTTATCCTTTCTGGCTTAAGGCCCTCAGAAGGCAGGTTTCTTATGTTCCTTATCTAACGCCAGATAAACAAACATGCACAATCCCTCAGCCCATAGAGCAAGACTGATGTCCGTCTCATGCCTCCTTTCTTTGCCTGGTTTGTTACTTAAGTCAGTGATCCCTAAACTACCCCCCTCCCAGTATCCGATGAACAAGTTCACATATTCATGGAGGAAGGAAGCACTGTTATCTGGGAAATGACTAAAACCCTGCTAGGCAATTGTGCCCTAGGTATGCCATAGTCCCACAGCTGAGTTGGTAAAAAGAAAAAGAAAGTATATTTTGAGTTAAAGGGTGTGGCATGAGAAGAGGGAAGAAAAGAAAAATAAAGTGATGGAGATTGGGAGAAAAAGAGAGCCTCTTTTCCCTGTGCCCTTTCATTTTTCTGCATCCCACCTGCCCTTTCATGCAGGGCTTTTTAGACCTGATACTGGTGTCCCTCCCCCAATCTCCATCCCCCAGCAGCCACTGATCTCTTTTATGTTCCCGTGTTTTGGGCCTTTTCAGAATGTCACTCATGATATTTTTAATGGCTGAGAAGTAATTCAATATACAGATGGTGGCAGATGGTTTTTCCTGGGAGACACATCTAACACTGAGGCCTCTGAAGTCATAGGACCAAATGAACGACTTGATAGAATTCTATCAGTTTTGCCTGGTCGGTGTGGCTCAGTTGGTTGGGCATTGTCCCACGCACTAAGGGGTTGCCGGTTCGATGCCAGTCAGGGCACATGCCCGGGTTGTGGGCTTGATCCCCGCTAGGCAACCCATCTCTCTCACGTCGATGTTTCTCTCTCTCTCACCCACTCCCTCATCCTTGTTGCATGAGGGACATTGAATCTATCCTGATAGGATTGCGGAGGTGCAAGAGGGGGGCTGGGAGCCCATGGACACCAACGGCCTTGGCTGTGAGCAGTGGACACCAACGGCCTTGGCTGTGAGCAGTGCCCTTGGGGTTAAAGTCACAAGAGGCTCCAAAGCACAGAGGGCAGGGACAGAGTACTAAAATAGCCGCAGCCACTCACCTTGAGCTCCTGCAGAGGGAGGGAAGGCAGGACTGGAACTGTGTGGGGACACTCGTGATTTGGAGGGTGCTCAGAGCTCCTGCTGTGTTGCGGCCATACAGGACTGTGGCCATGTTACTCCTTCCCAGGGCTCTGGGGAGAGACAGCAGCCCCTTCCTCAGAGATTCAACCCCACCTAGGTGGGCTATTGAAATGCAAATTGAGGCCCATTAACAACTAGTATCTGCCCCACCCTGGGGAAATCCTCTTATGCAGAATACCTAAGGGAGGTTTTCATTCAATTGAGAAAGGAAGGCTCTTCAAGTAAGGGTGACTAATAGCCTTCAAGCAAAAAGCTAGAGGATAACTGAACCATTCCTGGGCTTCCAAATCTACCCAGGAAAGTAAGACTTGACAGTGGTGTTTAACATGGGTCCTCCCACACTCATCCAAACCCCTTAGAGGAAGCCACAACAGCAGAACACCAACATCCACAGGGAAAATTTGGCAGGCTCCAAAACCCACGGAGACAGCCAAAATGGCGAAACAAAGAAAGAAATCCCAAATGAAAGAACAAGAGACCTCTATCGAAGATGAGATAAATGAAATGCAGTTAAGCAAATGATCAGAGGTAGAATTCAGAGCCATGATCTTGAGGAAGCTCAACAGCATGAGTAAGGACACCAACACCATGAGTAAAGACACAGAAACATTGAAAATCCACCAACTGGAAATGAAAACCATCAAGAAGAAATGAAGAATGACATAGCAGAAATAAAGAACACATTGGAAGGACTAAACAGTAGAATAGAGGAAGATGAGGAACAGATCACTGAATTAGAAGACAGGGTAGAAAAAATCAACCAATCAGAAAACCAAAAGGAAAAAACAATTAAAAAGCAGAAAGACAGCTTAAGAGAACTGTGGGACAACTAGAAATGTAATAATATTCTCATCATAGGAGTCCCCGAAGAAGAAGCAAATGAGCAAGGGTTAGACAATATATTTGAAGAAATAGTGATAGAAAACTTTCCTAATTTGGTGAAAGAAGAAAGTATTCAAGTTCAAGAAACACAGAGAGCCCCAAGTAAGAAGAACCCAAACAGACCCACACCAAGACACATAGTAATTGAAATGTCAAAAATTAAAAACAAAGAGAGAATCCTAAAGGCAGCAAGAGATAAGCAACAGGTTACCTAAGGCTCTCAGCTGACTTCTCACAAGAAACACTACAGGCCAAGAGGGAATGGCATGAAGTAATCAAGGTCATGACAAACAAGGATCTGAATCCAAGACTACTCTATCCAGCAAGGCTATCATTCAAAATAGAAGGTCAAATAAAGAGCTTTTAAGACAACAACAACAACAACAACAACAAAAGCTAAGGGAATATATTAGCACCAAACCAGCACTGCAAGAAATGTTAAAAGGACTGCTGTAATTAGTAGAAGAAATAGGAAGACAAATATAACCACACTAAACAAAAATGGCAATAAATAAGTACATATCAATAATTACCTTAAATGTAAATGGATTGAAAGCTCTGATAAAAAGACACAGAGTAACTGACTGGACAACAAAGCAGGACTCATATATATGTTTACAAGAGATCCACCTCACAACAAAAGACTGACATAGGTTGAAAGTGAAGAGATGGAAAAAAATCTTCCAGACAAATGAAAAGAAAAAAAAGCTGGGGTAGCAATACTCAATATCTGATAAAATAGATTTCAAAATGAAGGCCATAACTAGAGACAAAGAAGGACACTACATAATATTGAAAGGGTCTATCCAACAGGAAGATATAACCTTGGTAAACATATATGCACCCAATATAGGAGCACCAACTTATATTAAAAATCTTCTGGAGGACTTCAAAGGAGAAATCAACAGCAATACATTCATAGCAGGGGACTTCAACACCCTGCTGACATCACTGGATAGATCATCTAGACAAAAAGTTAACAAGGAAACACAGACTCTAAATGAAGCACTAGCCTAAATGGATTTAATAGATATCGACAGAGAATTACACTCCAAAACTACAGAATTCACATTCTTCTCAAGTGCACATGGGACATTCTCAAAGATAGACCACGTGTTAGGAAACAAACTCTCTACAAGTTCAAGAAGATTGAAATCATATCAAGCATCTTCTCAGATCACAGTGACATGAAACTAGAAATCAATTGCAACAAGAACATGCAAAGACATTGGAACACATGGAGGCTAAATAGCATGTTATGAAACAATGAATGGGTTATTGAAGAGATCAAGGAAGAAAATCGAAACTTCCTCGAATCCAATGAAAATGAACACAC